ATGTAAGTTTTGTAAGATTTCCCAGAGCTTTTTTTTTTTTTTTTTTTTTTTTTTTTGTGCGTGTGAAAATGTGATTTATGAATTATCAAGTTAAATCATATTGAACTTGGATCAAATTGCATTTATTAGACTCATGAGCATTATTTTTAATTTGATAAAAACTTTTTTTTTTTATAAAAAGAATCAACATTAACCGGATCTAATATGTAATTGTATAATACTTTTTTTTAACAAAAACAAAAATATAAATTAAACAGGTTAAAAAATGAATATCCATTTCGGTATAAAAATTACAAATGTAAAATCATATGAGTCAGCGGTCCTGCCCATATGTGATCAGCATAATAACAAGGTGTCACAAGATGGTACATATGTACAGTAAGGGGGAATAACAAAAACTCCGTATTTGTATAATGAAAAAGAAGCTATTGTTTATAAATTAATTATAATGAAAACAAAGCAACAAGTACTTCACCTTTTTAGAACAATGATATCATAGAAAGATATTTATTGAATCCTAATACAGTAATTAATTAGACGGACGTACTTTACAACATATGACTACTCAGAAATTCTCACTTGCCGGTATAAATGGTTCCATTCTTTTTACTTTAGATAGATTCATTTTTATCCCTAAATGATCAATCAACGAAAATTAAATGAATCTTTTTATAGAAGGTCTTAATTTCATAAACAATCTTCGTGAAACTTTTTCAAAATCATAAATTACGTTGCTTGGTCACGTGACTAATATTTATTTTTAATCACTATGTAGAGAAATTAATAAGTATGAAGTTTTATAAAATTATAAAATCCGTTCACTGTTTAGATAATTAAATTTGGTAAGAAAAGTCAGGTTAAACAACCATTATTTATGAATTTAATAAAAATAATTTATTACAAATAAGTTGTAACCCAGCCCAGTCCGCAACCAGAATTACTTTTCGTTAAAAAGAATCTTCACACACTTATTTGATCCCTAATCAACACCTGACGCGTGCGCGTCTGGTACAACATATATATTAGGATAACTTATGTCAGTCTAACCTGAAAAATTTAAATTTAATTCTTAAATTGTTTTAAAGAAACTTTTTATTAATTATAAAAAATGAGATTATATATAAATTATATATTAGTTATTTTTCAAATAGAATACAAAAAAATAACGAAAATAAAAAAAATAAATCAAAATCTACTGTAAATTCTAAAAACATCTATTATATTATCTAAATTTTTTTTTATAAAAATGATTAAAATTATTGTTTTCTCTATTCCTCAATCTGTTTATAAAACAATGTAATACATCTTTGTGCATCAACGTTTCCCCCTACGGCTGCTTCTTTATATAGATTATAGGCCTTTACTTCATCAATATCAACTATGATTCCGTGAAAAAAATAATATCCCAGTTTATATTTTCCATCTATACATCCTCTTTCAACTGCTTGTTTATAATAGTTGAACGCTCTAATTTCATTTTTTTTGACAGATTTTCCTAATTCATAAAATTTCCCTAATCTATATAATGCTATACCACCATCATTTTCTACTGACTTTTGATACCAGTATTTGACCTCATTTAAATTCTTTATTATCTCTTCTTTGCTTTCATAAAACGATCTATGATTGAACATTGTATCACTAATTCCTTCCTCCGTTGCTTCATTATATAATTCAATTCCTTTTTTCTTATTTGGTTTAATTCCAATTCCATTTACATAACAATATCCAAGATGAAATTTTGCATTTACATGCCCTTTTTCAGCGGATTTTTCATAAAACTCAAATGCCTTAGATTCATCTTTATCAGTACCTATTCCTAATTCATAGCATGTACCTAAATTATCATATGCAATTTCATTTTCATTAATAGCAGCTTTTTGGAACCAGTAAAAAGCTTTCTTAAAGTCCTTCTTAACTTCTTTCGCCATAATATATAATTTTCCAAGATCATTTTGTGCATCTACATATCCTTTTTCAGCAGATGTCTTGTATAATTTAAAAGCTTTGGTCTCATCTTCTTTAACACCTATACCATATTGGTAACAATGCCCTAAATTATATTGCGCTATTTCATAATTTTTTTCTGCTGATTTATCATACCAGTAAATGGCTTTTACTAAACTTTTGTCTGTACCTATACCATGAATATATAGATTTCCAAGTTCATTTTGTGCAATACGATGTCCTCTTTTAGCTGCCATTTTAAATAATTCGTATGCCTTTTCCTTATTAATATCAGTCCCAATTCCATTAGAATAACAACATCCAAGCTCAAACTGGCCATCTAAATATCCTTTATCGGCTGACTTTTTATAATAATTAAATGCCATGATTTCATTTTTTTCAACTTCGATCCCGAATTTACAGATATTGCCCAATTTATATGACGCTAATTCATATCCATTTTCTGCTGCTTTATTATACCAGTAGATAGCCTTCTCTAAATCTTTTTCTGTCCCTATTCCATGAATATATAAATTTCCAAGTTCATATTGCGCAATATGATGTTCTCTATTAGCCGCACTTTCATAAAATTCAAATGCTCTTGCCTCATCAATATTAGTTCCAATTCCATTTAAGTAGCAACATCCAAGCTCAAATTCAGCATCTGCGATATTATTTAAATTATAATGGTATGACAACATATAATATTGAAAGGCTTTATATTTATCTTTTTTCACACCTTTACCGTTTTTATAGCAATTACCTAAATTATAATATGCTCCTCCTTTTTTATACCAGAATAAAGCCTTATCCAAATTTTTTTCTGTACCTTCACCATTTTCATACAAAATTCCAAGTTTACTTTGTGCAATACAATATCCCTTTTTAGAAACAATCCTATATAATTCAAATGCTTTTGTTTTATCAACTTCAATTCCAATTCCTTCATTATAACAACATGCAAGTTGATATTGAGCATACAGATATTCTTGATTAGCTGATTTCTCATAATATTCAAAAGCTTTTTTCTCATCTTTTATGATACCATCACCATATTGATATGCAACCCCAAGATCGTATTGAGCAATGCATTGAACAAAACCATTCCCCTTTTCAGCTAAGATTTTATTTAATTCAACCGATTTTATTTTATCGCGTTTGGGCCCATAATCATAAAAACATTTAAGTTTTACTTGTGCATCAAAATAGTCTTGGTCAGATGATTTTTTATAATATTCAAATGCCTTAATTTCACTTTTTTTAACACCGACCCCATAATTATAACAATTACCTAAATTATATTGTGCGACTTTACAACCATTTTTTGATGCTTTTTTATACCAGAAAATTGCCTCTTTTAAATCCTTTTCTATTCCTTTACCATTCTTATACAAAGTTCCAAGTTCATTTTGTGCAAAACGAGATCCTTTTTTGGCCGCTGTTTTATATAATTCAAATGCTTTTGCTTTATCAATATAAGTTCCTATTCCATTATTATAGCAACGACCAAATTCAAATAAAGCATCAACATGACCTTGATTGGCAGACGTTCTAAAATGCATAAAAGCTTTAACATCATCTTTTTTTATACCTTTACCAACTTTATAACAATTACCCAAATTATATTGTGCTATTTTACATCCATTTTCTGCTGCTCTATTGTACCAATAAATAGCCTTTTTCAAATTTACTTCTGTGCCTTCCCCATTTTCATACAAAATTCCAAGATAACTTTGTGCAATAACACACTTGTTTTCAGCTGCGTCTTTATATAGCTCAAATGCTTTTGTTTTGTCAATTTCTGTTCCAATTCCTTTATAATAACAATATCCAAGTTCAAATTTGGCAGATAAATACTCTTGATTAGCTGATTCGTTATAATACTCAAAAGCTTTTTCCTCATCTTTTTCTACGCCCTTACCATTTTTATAACAATTACCCAAATTATATTGTGCTATTTCACACCCATTTTCTGCAGCTTTGTTGTACCAATAAACGGCTTGTTCGAAATTTTTTTCTGTTCCTTTACCATTTTCATAAGAAATTCCAAGATTACTTTGTGCAAATTTACATCCTTTTTCAGCTGCTTTTTTATATAACTCAAATGATTTTAATATATTAATACGAATTCCAATTCCTTTTTCATAACAATATCCAAGTTGGTATATTGCATCTCTAAATTCATTTTTAGCTGATTTATAATAATATTTAAAAGCTTTTCTTTCATCCACAGTCACACCTATACCACATTTATAACAATTGCCTAAATTATATAGTGCTACTTCAGACCCATTTTTTGCTGCCTTATTATACCAATAAATAGCTTTTTCGAAATTTTTTTCGAAATTTTCATATAAAATTCCAAGATTACATTGTGCAATTATATGCCCATTTTCTGCTGCAATTTCATATGATTCAATTGCACTTTTTTCATTAACTTCAATTCCAATTCCTTTTTCATAACAAAATCCTAACTCAAATTGAGATTCTAAATATCCTTTCTTAGCCGATTTTTTATAATATTTAAATGCCCTAACTTCATCTTTTATAATACCTCTTCCATTTTTATAACAATTACCTAAATTATATTGTGCCACTACATTATCTTTTTCTTCTGCTTTATTAAACCAGTAATATGATTTATCTAAATCTTTTTCTGTACCTTTCCCATTTTCATATAAAGTTGCAAGAATTTTCTGTGCTATACGATATCCTTTTTTAGCGGCAATTTTGTACAATTCAAAAGCCTTTAATAAATCAATGTCAATTCCAATTCCTTTTTCATAACAATTTGCAAGTTCAAATTGTGCATAAAAATAATTTTGATCGGCAGATTTCTTATAATATTCAAAAGCATTTCTTTCATCTTTTTCTACATATTCACCAATTTTATAATAATTACCTAATTTATATTGTGCTAATTTACATCCACTTTCTGCTGATTTGATATACCAATAAATAGCCTTTTCTATATTTTTTTCTGTACCATTACCATTAATATATAACGTTCCAAGAGTGTGTTGTGCAAAACCATGTCCCTTTTCGGCAGCAATTGAATATAATTCAAAGGCTTTTGTCATATTTGCTTTTACTCCAATTCCATTATTATAACAACATCCGAGTTGATATTGTGCATTTATACACTCTTGTTCAGCTGATTTTTGAAACAATTCAAAAGCCATTTGTTTATCTTGTTCTACACCTTTTCCATTTTGATAACAAATACCTAAATTACATATTGCGAATTTATTTCCATTATTTATTGCTTCTTTATACCAATAAATAGCTTTCTCTAAATCTTTTTTCGTTCCAATTCCATTTTTATAACAATTACCTAACATATTTTGTATATTTGAGTACCCTTTTTCAGCAGATTTAAGATAACATTCAAAAGATTTCTTATCATCTTTATTTATTCCTATACCGTATTGATAACAAAGACCTAAATTATATTGTGCATGTATATCTTCGTTGGAAGCTTTTAAATACCATTCAAATGATTTTTTCTCATCCTTATTTATTCCAATTCCATTTTGATAACAATAACCTAAATTATTTTGCGCGCAAGAATTTCCTCTTTCTGCGGATTTCAAATAAAATTCAAATGCTTTAAATTCATCTTTATTTTTTCCTAACCCATACTGATAACAGAAACCTAAATTATTTAATTCTATTGATTCTTTCTTTTTATTATAATCTAATTGATTTTCGTTTAAATACTTTTCTTTTGATTCAAAATATTTTTCTATAACATCTATTTCATCTTTACAAATATTTATCAATAAACCATTAAAATTTTCGAACTGGTCATGTGACATTACGTTAACGTTTTCAAAATATTTAAATTCTTTTACAATAAAATTACTTTTATCTAAAATATTATCTCTATAATAAAAAAATGATAATAAGTATTTCGAAATAATGATATTTAATAATTGATATTTTGAAGTTAGTTCTACATTTTCATTTTCATCATCGTCATAATTATTATTATAATTATAATTATTATTATTGTTGTTGTTATTATTATTATTATTATTATTAAGCGATAATAAATATAAATTTAGTGCTTTATTTTTATTAGTGGTTTTTCCCATACCTTGTTCATAAAAATAACCTAATAATCCCGAAAACCAATTTTCATTTTCTTCATGATCTTCCATTAAATTTAATATTGTTACAAAATCTCTATTATTAATATTAAAAAATTCTTTTATCCATTTCGTTAAAATATTTTCAATATTTTCTAGTTTATCATAATTTTCTAATTTTACTATTTGACGATAAAAATTTTTTAAGAAATTTTTTAAGAAATCATCATCTTCTTTTGAAATATTATTTGGACGACAAAAGTTTTTTAAGAAATTCTTTATAAAATCCTCATCATCTTTTAAGATATTATTATATGACGTCATATTGTTATATGAAGCGATATTATTTTGGAGAAAGTCTAGTGAATAATTTTTTTTTATTCTGTGAGATGGTAGCTAACGAAATGAAAGTATTTAAGTATTTTTTAAATTTCTTTATTTAGAAATAAATCATTGTAGCGATATTGTCATTGTAAATAGTTACACTAACTTTATTAAAATTGGTTTCACATAGTTATCAAGCGACCAGCTGCGATACTGCGCATAAATATTACTCATTATTACATTAACATCTTGATCATAAGAAGTTGGAATGTTGTAGCAGCAGTTGTATTACATTATAAGAGTTTACTGCGTATCAGATTTTAAATAAAATTGGATTGATAATTAAAAAAAATTACATTTATAA